CCTGGCTGGGGACCTCGGGATGATCGTAACCGGTGGTTAGAGACACTGAGCGATATGGCTGGATGTCGTAAACAGTCACGTTCGTGCATCTCCTCAATTTCTTTGCAACCTTAGACCACTGAACTCCTGCATTCTCTGTTCGACTCCACTTTCCACTTTCCTTTCTTCTCCTATTCTTCATCGCAATGGGCAGCCAAAAGACAGCAACCGAAACCGGTGCTCGAATATGCGTGGTTAATGGTTGTTCAAACTGAAATTTGAAGTGATATATATATATATATATATATATATATATATGTATATATACATATATGTATATATAGACAGTCATAATCCCCATTTCGTGAAACCATATTGGATTAGTAAAAAAAGGTACGGTCCACCGAAGAATCGAAGTCTAGCTGACGCTATGCAGTTTCTAAGAGAGAAAGAGCTTCCAGTTGTGAAATGGCTGTATAGTTTTGCTCTGTCTAAAATCCAAGATGAAGTTTCATTCACGGTAGTTTTTTCGTGACGTTTGATCGATACCATACCTTTTCAACTGCAAGTGAATCTGCCGTAACTTCAAGTGAAGTTACAATGGATTCACTTGAAGTTGAAAAGGTGTGGATTTCATTTCAGCTGAATGCGTACAGTTCATCGGCAGGCAACTAAAATACCAATGCATGTTTGTTTGGTTGACGCATTTACTAATAGATTGCACCCCTGGTGCATTTGAGTTGAAGAACGTGTCCCAATCAAGTGTTATAGGTCACCTAAACAATACGATGCGGTTCCGGGATATTTCAAGTATAAATTTTGTCACTATGCAAAGAGTTCAGTGGGAAGACACCTGAATCTCCGAGTAAAATTAAACTGATCTATGAAACCGGACATTTGGGGATGTGGAGAGCAAACGTATCATTGTAGTTCTTGCAGTGTCTGTTAACGTTAAACCAATAACTACCGAACAGAGTTTATGTTCTCATAGAATATACAAATCAGACTTTCATTTTTTGGAGTATCTTTTATCCGATTCTGGTGGATGAACACACACACACACCGAGGCTTTTCTCCATTTTGTTCACACACTCACATACACGTTTTCACTGATCAAGTCAGCTTTGGTGGTTTTCTCTGTGACCGTATGTTGCACAAGGTAGTGAATACCGAAACACCACGAATGATTTCACCTAAAACTCGACATGCAGAGTTAGTGCAATGTTTTTTAGTACTCTCCAGTGAAGGCAACTAAGATTTTGTTGTACTATGGAACGAAAGCCAATTCATCGCAACTTCCACCGAATAATTGTTTAAGTTCAACCTGAATTACAGTCGAGACAGACAGGTTGGAGTTGTGTTAATTGTTGTTGACTTTCGTTCCGGTAATATTTTTTCCAGTGAGCATAAATTGATGAATTTGATGCATGGGATAGCAAATAGTTTGATGATGATTCATCATACCGCGCCATCGTGTCACACTGATACCGTTGACAAACCTTGGAAACACAACCGTAGGACAGTTTCATTCATGTTGTGGTGATTCGGGATAAATTTGGTTTGATGGATATACACATTCGAACGGTAATGACTAATGGTAGACGCATGTTATATACATATAACAACAGTTCCTTTACTGAATTTGAGAGAGAACAAGTACAGAGTCCTTTTCTCATTTCTGTCCTCCTCTGTTTGGCCTGAAAGAGAGGTCGCATGAAA